GGCAAGAGAGGAACAGAGGTGGTTTGCCATTGCCTGCCTCTGCATAGCAACCCTGGACTTCCTCGGTGGTCTCCCATGCAAATACTAACCAGGGCCAACACTGCTTAGCTCCTGAGACCTTATAAGACTGGGCTAGCCTGGGCCATCGAGGTCAGGGCAAGAGAGGAACAGAGGTGGTCTGCCATTGCCTGCCTCTGCATAGCAACCCTGGACTTCCTCGGTGGTCTCCCATCCAAATACTAACCGGGGCCAACACTGCTTAGCTCCTGAGACCTTATAAGGCTGGGCTAGCCTGGCCCATCGAGGTCAGGGCAAGAGAGGAACAGAGGTGGTTGGCATTGCCTGCCTCTGCATAGCAACCCTGGACTTCCTCGTTGGTCTCCCATCCAAATACTAACCGGGGCCGACCCTGCTTAGCTTCCGAGATCTTATAAGATCGGGCTAGCCTGGCCCATCGAGGTCAGAGCCATATTACCTACACCTGTTTTTTGGGGGGGGACCTGTTTCCAAATCAAACTGGAGCTTGGCTGGCTATTCATACATTCTTTGCTTTCCTTATCCTGTTGCTAACTCAATCTGCTTCTAAGGTGGGGTTGCCCGTTCTGTGGGAAACTCCTGGAGATTTGGGGTGAAGTCTAGGGAGGATAGGGACCTTAGCTGGGTACAATGCCATAGACTCCACCCTCCAAAGCAGCCATTTTGTCCTGGGGAACCAATCTCTGTTTTCTGGAGATCAGCTGTAAAAGAATGAGCTCTCCAGGCCCCACCTGGAGGCTGGCAACCCTATTCTAAGGGCTTGTCTATCCAGGGACAAGTCCACTCTTGTGACACCCAAACCACCAAGAGCTTCCGTTCTACAAGTAGAAGCAATGCCAAGCGACCACAGATGGAATTCACTGCTCCTGCCTCTCTGCACAACATACCCCTTACCCACAATGCTAAGAGACAGGCGATCTCTGCGAGTTTTGAAAAGCTGGACGATGTGGCCTGGGGAAACTGCGATGCATATGCACATCTCTTGGCTGCCAAGAGAACATCGTGTCCAAACAAGCTCTTGAAGGTGGAGATGTCATAACACAGACGCGACATTTTATCGTATGTGGTAGACGTGTAAGAAAGCAAGAAAGCATTGGTTAGAGACAGGGGTCATTTCCTGCAGGAGCACACAGGAGCGGAGCTCCGGCAGTAAAGAGCCCAGGGGGCGGACACATGCAACAAGCCCCACCCCCTGCTCCCAGCAGCCCTCAGTCAGAGCAAGAAGCAGCCAGGTAAGTTGCAGAGCTCCCCCTGGCCCCCCGGTCCAAAACAGTCCCAATGGTACCTTTAAGACCAAGGTTTATTCAGGTACAAGCTCTCCCTCCTTTGCGAGGACAGATCTGCACGTTTCCCTCCCCCCAATAGCTAGCAATCCAAAACAGTCCATTGGAGCCTGAGTGGTGGGTGTTGCCTTCTGACACACTTCCGGTGATGTCAGGGGGTGTGGCATATGCAAATAAGATATGCTAATGAGTTATGCTAATGAGCTCCTGCACTTCTTTTTCTATGAAATGACCCCTGGTTAGAGATATCTGAAGACATGCAAAAGACACTAAAACTTAAGTTTGCAAGGGATCCCAAAAGTATGCTACTAAATGTGCTGCCCAGCAACGTCCCAAGGACACATTCGTGAATTATTTAAGTATACGGTGACGGCGGCAAGAGTAATATTTGCAGCAGAACGGAAGGCAGAAAGATGCCCAGATCTGAAGGAATGGAAGCATACATTATATGAATATGTGATCATGGCAAAATTAACATCTTACATACATGATGAACAAAACCTATTGAGGCAGACTCAGCACGGTTTCTGTAAGGGAAGATCTTGTCTCACTAACCTCTTAGTGTTCTTTGAGGGGGTGAACAAACATGTGGACAAGGGGGATCCAATAGATATTATTTACCTTGACTTCCAGAAAGCTTTTGATAAAGTTCCTCATCAAAGGCTCCTAAGTAAGCTCAAAAATCATGGGATAGAAGGACAAGTCCTTTTATGGATCAAAAACTGGCTAGTTCATAGAAAACAGAGAGTGAGTGTAGGTGGGCAATTTTCTCAGTGGAGGGGGGTAAGCAGTGGGGTTCCACAGGGATCAGTACTTGGTCCACTGCTTTTTAACTTGTTCATTAATGATTTGGAGATGGGAGTAAGCAGTGAAGTGGCTAAATTTGCGGATGATACAAAGTTGTTCAAGGTGGTGAAAACCAGTGAGGATTGTGAGGCACTCCAAGGGGATCTGTCAAGGATGGGCGAGTGGGCGTCAACATGGCAAATGGGGTTCAATGTGGCCAAGTGCAAGGTGATGCACATTGGAGCCAAAAATCCTAAATATAAATACACATTGATGGGGTCTGAACTGGCAGAGACTGAGCAAGAGAGAGATCTTGGAGTTGTAGTGGATAACTCACTGAAAATGTCGAGACAGTGTGTGACTGCAATAAAGAAGGCCAATGCTATGCTGGGGATTATTAGGAAGGGTATTGAAAACAGATCAGCCAATATAATAATGCCCCTATATAAATCAATGGTGAGACCGACTTGATGGGCCTTTGGCCTGATCCAACATTGGCGTCTCTTATGTTCTTATGTTCTTATGATAAACCGGTTTCAGAATTCCAAGAAAAATGGAAAGCATTTTTTGATGACATAGCTGAGACCCAGGAACAAATGTAAGCCAAGACATAGATTAAGGAAAGTAAAGAGTGCGCTGACCTGGATGGCCCAGGCAAGCCCAATCTCCTCAGCTCTCAGAAGCTAAGCAGTGTCGACTCTGGCAAGTACTCGGATGGGAGACCTCCTTGGAATACCAGAGGCAGGAGCTGGGGGCAGGCTTTATTCAACCACCTCTCTGAATATCCCCCAGGCAGTCACCAGAGGTCGCCATGACTTCCAGGTGCACACACACACACACGAACGCACACTCGCACGCACAGTGTACATGGACATATTTTAAAAACACCAAAATAAAAAGACCAGTGGAAGAAAGAGTCAGGCAATACATGTCTGTGATAATAACTGGGAAAGACAGAATAAATAAAGATATTTAAATAAAGGCCAAAAAACAAGAGTATACACAAGAGTATATACAAGTGAGTTCTAAATAAGTATAAATCATTACATGACAGAGTTGATATACATGATTGTATGCAGGGGTCATTTCGTAGAAAAAGAGGTGCAGGAGCTCAATAGCGTAACTCATTAGCATAACTTATTTGCATCACCGGAAGTGTGTCAGAAGGCAACACCCACCACTCAGGCTCCACTGGACTGTTTTGGATGGCTAGCTATGGGGGGGGGGGCGCAGATCTGTCCTCGTAGAGGAGGGAGAGCTTGTACCTGAATAAACCTTGGTCTTAAAGGTGCCACTGGACTGTTTTGGACAGGGGGACTGGGGGGGGGCTCTGCAGCTTACCTGGCTGCTTCTTGCTCTGACTGAGGGTTGCTGGGAGCAGGGGGTGGGGCTTGTTGCATGTGCCCGCCCCCTGGGCTCTTTACTGCCGGAGCTCCGCTAATGTGCACTCCTGCAGGAAATGACCCCTGATTGTATGATGGTATGATTAGAGAGGACTATCTATGTATCTGAACAAAGTTTGAGTCCAGCGGCACCTTTAAGACCAACAAAGTTTTATTCACGGCATAAGCTTTCGTGTGCAAGCACACTGCGTCAGATACAGATGCTTCCAACTAACACGGCTAACCCACCTGAATCTATCTATATTTCACACATGATTTAGATCGTTGTAGACTGCAGTTTCTGTTTTGTCTTTGTGTTGCAAACTGATTATAAAAAATAATATAAAAACAAACAAGCAAGCTCTTAAAGGGAGGAAAGCACACCTGGGTGGTCCCCAAACTGCAATACAAAGAGGCCGGGGGAACCTCTGCAATACAAAGAGGCTGGGGGAACATCTGCAAGCCGAGAGCATCAGGGAGCACTGTGCATTTGCTCCCCAAAGGCCGTGGGGGCAGACAAGCCTTTCAGAAGCACACTTTTAGCACAATGATTTTCTACCACCGACACACTGCCAGAACATCTTTAGTAAGACCTGATGCTCTAGAAGAGACGTTTGCCATCCCATCTCTGCTCTGAAAAGCGCAACACGGGGAAATGTTTCAGCCAAATTACTTTGAGGCAAGGCGGATCATCGGCCGAGCAAAGAAACTAGCCTGCTCAGGGCCCAAGGAAGACACGGCCGTGAATTCGGTTCACCAGGAGTCCCCATAACCAACGTTTGGCTCTACTTGCAGCCTCCAATGCTCCCTCTAAGCTATGGAGTCCTGTGAGCAAAAGGTCTACTTTGTGAGTTGCTGGCATTAAGAAGAAGAAGATTGGATTTATACCCCACCCTTCACTACCCAAAGGTGTCTCAGAGCGGCTTACAAACCCCTTTCCCTTCCCCTCCCTACAACAGACACCCTGGGAGGTAGGTGGGGCTGAGAGAGCTCTTGAGAGAAACTGCTCTTTTTCAAGGACAGCTCTTATCAGAACTATGGCCTGCTCAAGGTCATCCAGCCAGGTGCAAGTGGAGGAGTGGGGAATCAAACCTGATTCTCCCAGATTAGAGTCCGCGCACCTAACCACTACACCAAACTGGCTCTCTTAAAGTTGTGAGTGAGCGATGTGGCTCCTGCATAAATTAGTTTGCTCTGGAGCCATCCTTCCTGAGCTAAGACACAAATGTGTGAGCCGGAGGCTAAAAAACTGTGAGCTGGCTTGCACTAGCTCAGTTTAGAGGGAACACTGCTTTGCAGCCAGTTTACAAAGACTACCGTTAAGGTTACACTCTAAAACAAAAATAGACATCCAGGTGTGGGGGGAACAATTACGCCCTCAGAAGTCTTTCCGCAGTGCTCACTGCCAGATTCGTGCAATGCTGACGGCACAACAAAACCCTGCCCAAACCTCTGCTTGGGACGCCGACAAAAGATGGTAGCAATCCTGCCAGGGAAGATCCCCTTCACTCACCCCCGGTAACGTCTTCTGCTCATGCAGCGCGCTCTGGGCCTTCAGTGCTGAATCCCTGGCACAGTACGTCAGAAAGGCACAGCCTGTGGGGAAAAAAGGAACATAATCATACACACACACGTAATTTATATGTAAACAGACTGCTAGGGTTGCCAGCCTCCAGGTGGGACCTGGGGATCCCCCTGGAATTACAGCTCATCTCCAGACCACAGAGATCAGTTCCACGGGAGAAAAGGGATGCTCTGGAGGGTAGACTCTGTGGCACTGTACCCCACTGAGGTCCCTGTCCTCCCCAGGCTCCACCCCCAAATCTCCAGGATAGGGATGCCAGCCTCCAGGTGGGACCTGGGGACCCCCCAGAATTACAGCTCATCTCCAGACCATGGAGATCAGTTCCCCTGGAGAAAAGGGATGCTTTGGAGGGTGGACTCTGTGCCACTGTACCCCACTGAGGTCCCTGCCCTCCCCAAGCTCCACCCCCAAATCTCCAGGAGTTTCCCAACCTGGATCTAGCAACTCTATCCCCCCAGTCTCCCGCCAGTGGCCAGGGGGAATCTGGTAGCCTTTCTAGTGGCACCCGCCAGGGGGCCGCCTGGTCCCAATCTCACCCTCATCTGCAGTGCGTGTTCCGAAGCAGGGAGAGGAGAGGCCTCCGCTGCTTCAGCACAACGGCAAGGACCATCTCCCTGGGACGCTGCCTCCGTCCTCAAAGCCGCCCATTGCTCCCGTGCCGCCCCTCGAGGAGCCGAGCATCTTTTCGGCCGGAGGTCAGCACACGGCCCAGTGGGGGATTCGGTTTAAGGCAACTGGTCCGGATTAGCAGGGCCTGGTTAATTGGAATCAGGAGAGCCGGGCAGACACAGCGGGATTAGTGCAGCAGCGCCCAGATTAGCCCATCAGACCTTTCTCCGACCACACTGCCCCTGGCTTAAGAGCCACTCCTCTTTTGGAGTGCTGGTCGGGCTATGGGAAATAAGACAGTTCTTCCTAGGGACTGCTTATGGGGTTGCCAACTTCCAGGCAGGGGCTGGAGGTCACCTAGAATCGCAACGGATCTCCAGACTACACAAATCGCTGTTTCATTTATTATTTATTCGTTGAAAATATTTATTCCACTTCTCCTGGAGAAAAGGGCTGCTTTGGAAAGGGGATTGCATGGCATTATACCCTACTGAGGTCCTAGAGATGCCAATCTCCAGGCGGGGGCCAGAGATCTCCCAGGATGACAACTGATCTCTAGAATGCAGAGATCAGTTCTCCCGGAGAAAAGGGCTGCTTCGGAGGGTGGACTGTATGGAATTACACCCTGCTGGCTGCTGAGGTTCCCCCCCCCTTCCAAACCCCGCCCTCTCCAAGCTCCACCCCCAAAATCTCTGAGTGTTTCTGAACCCGGGGTAGGCAACTCTTCACCTCTGGCAGTCTCTTACTGGCCTTCCTCCTCGTTTCTGATGGTGTTGGCTTATGTGTTTTTATTTTAATTATTTTTATCATTTTAGATGTTGTTTTAAAGGGTTCCAGTGTTTTTACATCCACCTCCCCGGGAACCCTGATCAGATGGAAAGGGAGCTATAAAAATGCTCTAAATAAATACACACATAGCAATTTACAATTCGAATGTCCGTGAGAAAGGCGGACTACGAAAACAGGAAATAAGGTTGCCGGCCTCCAGGTGGGGCCTGGAGATCTCCCGCTTTTACATCCAACCTCCACACTACAGAGATCAGTTCCCCTGGAGGAAATGGCTGCTTTGGGGGGTGGGGCTCCTGCACAAACTCCGCCCTCTCGAGGGTCCACTCCCCAAAATCTCCAGGTATTTCCCAACCCAGAGCTGGCCACCCTAACAGTAAAATTTTACCTCTTCTCCACTGGTGGCTGCCCAAGAGCCGAGATCACGCTTAAAACACTGTTTTGATCCAGAACGATTTCTTTTTCAAAGCCAGTCACAATGTTACCATTTTACTTCATTTATATCCTGCCTTTCTCCACAACGGAGACCCAAAGAGGCTTACATCATTCTCCTTGCCTACATTTTAGCCTCACAACAACCCTGTGAGGTAGGTTGGGCTTCACATGCGTGACTGGCCCAAGGTCACCCAGCAAGCTTCCACGACAGAGTGGGGATTCGAACCCCGGTCTCCCAGATACTAGGCAGACACTATAATCACTACAGTTGCACTCTCTCAACAAACAGCAACTCAGTCAGACAAGCTAGTAACAAACAGACTAGAAAGCCAACCATCAAGAATAGCAGCTGGGGGGGGGGGGAAATGACTAAGGAGCTAGGTTTTACAGCAACAGATTGGTGTGTTTAAACCCAGCTCAGCTGAAAACGGTTTGTTGTAGAAGGCTCCTGCTTTGTAGGGCAAAGGTTTTGCACTGGTGCCAATCCTTGGAGACAGTTTTCTCCCAGAGGGGTTAGTTTCTGCTGTAGGCAGTGTTCCCTCTAAGCTGAGTTAGTGTGAGATCGCTCACAGTTTTTTTAGCCTTCAGCTTACACATTTTTGTCTTCGCTCAGGAAGGATGGCTCCAGAGCAAACTAATTTATGCAGCAGCCAAATCGCTCGCTCACAACTGTAATGCCAGGAGCTCACAAAGTAGAATCTTTGCTCACAAGACTCCACAGCTTCGAGGGAACATTGGCTGTAGGAGCCTACTTGTAGGGATTATCATTGCAATGAACATACTGTAAGGACCTATGATTGTAAGTACTTACTTTTAAAATCTGGCCTTTTCTCCCAGCAGTTCCAAATCTCTCCCCCATTCTTTCCTCACAACAATCCTGCAAGGTAGGCTGGGCTGAGAGAACCGGCCTAAAACAGGGTTGCCAGCTTTCAGTTGGGAAATACCTGGAGATTTGGGGAGTGGAACCTGGAGATGGCAAAGTCTGGGGAAGGGAGAGACCTTAGCAAGTGAGGGATGCCAGCCTCCAGGTGGGGCCTGGGGATCCCCCGGAATTACAGCTCATCTCCAGACTACAGAGACCAGTTCCCCTGGAGGAAATGGCTGCTCTGGAGGGTGGACTCTATGGCACTGTACCCCACTGAGGTCCCTGCCCTCCCCAGGCTCCAAACTCAAATCTCCAAGACTTTTCCATCCTGGATCTGGCAACCCTACCTCACCATCTCCTGCTGGTAACCGGGAGGGACCTGGCTTCCCTAGGTTATAAAGGTCTAGATGCCACTTTCCAAAGCAGCCAGTTTCTCTTGGGGAACTGATCTTGATCATCTGGAGATGCAACAGAAGGAGATCTCCAGCTGCCACCTGGAGATTGGCAACTCTGGCCTAAAGCCACCCAGAGCGTTTCATGGACCCCAATTCTTCTCCAACCCCTTACCCACGACACTGTAGTATACTCTAACTCTCACACCTTCATCAAATGGGGCTTCCCCCCCCCCTCTGTACTACCTAGCTCTTTCTTACATCCTTCTCCCGCTCTCCTTCTGAGGAGCTCAAAGCAGCATACGTGGCTGCCCCTTTTTATCCACACAGCTGCCCTGCAAGGTAGGTTAAAACAAAAAGAAAGCCGCTGGTACAAGGTCACCCAGTGCACTTTCATAGCAGAAGAAGGGCTTGCATTCCGTTCCCCCTGATTCCACCCTAAATCAGTGACTCTCACCTGCATTCCCTTCCATCAGGAACGTTCTCCAGTCCAATAAAAAAAAAATCTGGCAGGAAGTCATGCCCTCTGACCTGGAAGCCCTCCCTTGTAGTTCCTGATAGGATCACTCATTGGTCAAGAAAAATGGTCTTGGCTCCAGTCATTTTTTAAAAAAATTAAAGGGGCAGCTTCTAGGCAAAACTACCAAGTTAGAAAGTATTGGTCTGTTTGATTATTTTTATTCAGGTCTCAGTCAGGATCAAGGCTTTGTATTCCTGATGCAGGAGTTAAATGACAGTGGCCAAGTTCTGGAAAGACCAGAGAGCCTCGGGGGGGACTAGATCCTTCCAAGGGCAAACCAGGACTGGCCCAAGAGAGAGAGAGACAGGCTGCTTGAGCTAGGGCAAGCTACCTGCTGGTCAGAACTTGAACCCAGGGTGCAGGGGCCAGAGATGGCAGCCAACAGACTCTGGAAAAGACCCTCCCCCCCCCAAAAAAAAACAGAGATGGAGATGGAATTGGGGGATGGGGTTGCCAGCTTCCAGGTGGTGGCTGGAGATCACCCACCAGGGCTCTTTTTGTAGAAAAAGCCCAGCAGGAACTCATTAGCATAACAGGCCACACCCAACAGCAGGAACTCATTAGCATATTGGGCCACACCCCTGACAGCGCAGCTCATTAGCACATTGGGTCGCACCCCCATGTTACCAGAAGTGTGGTCATCCAGCCACACCCACCTTTTGCTTCTTATTCTGTTTACCTTGTTTGTGGTCAAAACCCAGGGCCTTTTTTTTTGTAGCAGGAACTCCTTTGCATGTTAGGCCACACACGCCTACTGTAGCCAATCCTAATGAGTTTCTGCTGTTGGATGTGGCCTATTATGCTAATGAGTTCCTGCTGGGCGTGGCCAACTCGGGAGCCAGCCAGAACTCCGTTCCTGTGCGTTCCTGCCCAAAAATAGCCCTGTCGCCCACTATTACAATGGATCTCCAGGCAACTGAGACTATTTCACCTGTAGAAAATGGCTGCTTTGGAAGGTGAACTCTCTGGCATTATACTCCATTGAAGCCCCTCCCCTCCCCTCCCCAAACCCTGACCTTCTCAGGCTCCACCCCCAAAATCTCCAGGTATTTCCCAACCCACCCCCAGGTGGTTAAAGTAGTCAGAGATTACTCCAGCGTAAACACTTTGTTTTCCGTTATCTTAGACCAGACTAACCCTACTTAGGATCGTATGGTTAATTAGCAGTCTTTAAAGTACTGCAAGATTCCTTCCTGGTTTTGCTTCCACAGAAGAATGCTGTCAGGGCCGTAGCCGATGCTCCCTCTAAGCCGTGGAGTTTTGTGAGCAAAAATTCTACTTTGTGAGCTACTGGCATTAAAGTTGTGAGCGGGCGATTTGGCTGCTGCAGAAATCAGTTTGCCCGGGAGCCCTCCTTCCTGAGCTGAGACAAAAAAGTGTGAGCCGGAGGCTAAAAAACTGTGA